TCTTTGCTCCTTGAATTAGGAAGGACACTGTCAGCGTGATCCCTTGGGGCTCCTCAGTGTTCATTTATTCCTTGGTCAGTACTCTTTCCTCTCAGGCCCTCCTTCTTCAATCTATGTATGATCCCTGCTAGTGTTTACTTGTTTCCTGTTTGCTGGCCCTTCACTTTTTGGGTGACCTATACAACTGCTTCTGAGCCTGTTTCTACCCTGACACCTTTCCCCTTTGGTAGGAAGATGCTGGTTATTTCTCACTTTATTTATTGCCTAAGAGGCCTTTGGTTGTGTCTGCTTTACTTAGGTTCTCTTCCTGTCCTATCCCCCAGTCCCCTCCTGCTACTATTGTCCACTGGGCATGTGACTCCCTTCCTTCTGCTTCTCCTTTCATTTCCTCATTAGTTTTCCTTCTTGGATCTTGGCTTCCCTGACTGGAGACAGAAGAACATAATGGCTCTCACACCTCTAAACCAGATGGGGATGGGAATAACCATGTCCAAGAGAGAGTGGGGAAGGGGAAGCATGAAGACCAGGGAAGAAGAGACCCGCAGGAATTAGTGGTGGGAAGCAGAGCTTTAGGAAGAACGAGGAGCAGATCCAGGCCAGACACAGAGATGACGTCTCCTTCCCTCTCCCAAGCGTGGCAGTTAGCCTTGGAGAAAGTGGAACGAGAGGAAAGGCATCATACCTTCCAGTTTTTCTGACGTACAGAAAATACACCAGGGCTGCTATCAGAGCTACCCCAGCCACGGCTCCAATCACGATGCCGGCAATAGCACCATCTGAGAGGCCAGAAGAACTTCCTTGTGTTGGATCATCTGTCATGGAGAGAAAAGAGGACAGTGAATGAAGGTGACGTTGTTTTACAGTGGGAAGTGCTCTGGGAAACAACTCTCAGTATAAAAAAATCTCTACTTGTTTCTTCAAGGAGTAAATTTTCTGTGGGAGGTTGCTGTGAGGGGATTAGCCAACTATATCCTTGCAGTTCTTTTCTCTTTGGCTGTATGTCTAGGTTGGTGATCAGATTTGCCTCAGTTCCATCCTGGCCTTTCTGCATTGGGATATTTTTGAAGCCTTTAGAAATATAAGAAGGATTGATGGCGTTTTTTTTTGTATATTATGACTTCTCACCTTTTCATGGCTGCATCTTTCCCTGAG